AAGATGTATCCACCCAATTTTGTTTAAGGATGAGAACAACTTTTGAGAAAGCAAGGCTATGTGAAATTCAAAGGAAAACGACAGTTCAACTCATATCATTGTGGGAAAATTCTTCTTCTAGCAGTCCTTCATCACCTTAAATGAAATAGGGGGAATACAACTAATAAAATTTGTATTTTATTTTAGTTATCCAGGCTAGCACTAGTTTATATAAAAGATGTATTCATCCTATTTAGTAAAGTTGATGGAGGAATAAAAGTTTAATTTTTCCAAAATGATATGAGTTCTTATCATAACTATGACCTCCTGGTATTCTCAAAGACCTACAGATAAACGAAAAATAAGTAATTTAGCCGATTATTCTGGCAACTATGACAACACTAATTCATTGAAAATCTCACAACAGAATATGATATGGGAAAATGCAGGGAATTCCATGAAATTCACATCTGCCCTGTGATAAAAGTGTACTAGTGGCAGCGCCACTGCAATATGACGGTTCGAGTCACGCTTGGGAAGCTGAGGAGACCCAGGCGAGGTCAAAACTGCATTCCACCTCCGTTGAGATATGAATACCTTGTGAAAAGCAAGGATATGTAAAATCTAATTGAAACATTAGATTTAATTATATGATTGTGTAAATAATGAATTAGCTGCCGTTTGTTACCTTATTCGACCTGTTATTCGAGATTTATTGATAATGCCGAAGGCTTACTTTATATGTTCATAAATGCACACCAACACACAAAGTCATATAGAGGAAAAGAGAGAGATATGTGCTTTTAGATGAGACAAGAAGACGAGTTACTTTATTGTGACAAGAGCGATCCTAGCAATTAAACCGCAGAAGAATGAACCAAAATGCTAGGCACCATGCATCAAGACCATCCAGGAGCACACAGTCACTGAGATGGACCTCAGTTTTCGTAAAAATGGTGTGCCTTCCTGTATTTGCTGACCCCTTTCATCGACAATGTCTCCATCATTGCAGAAGAGTTCTGAAATGTATGCGCTGGTCTACTCCTTAATGTAGAAAATGGCAGATGTAGCGAGGCCGCAGATGCAGCGACCAATACTTTTCCGTCCAGGTTCTAGAATTGCAGTGTATGATGCTTTATATCAATTGAAACAGGACGGCAATATTAGGTGGACACTCTTTTTGCTGAGGTGTGGTAAAAATAGCTGTGTCAAGATTTAATCAAGTTGGAACCGACCATGGCTCAATGTTAATGAAATCAGATAAACCTGAGTATCTAAGGAAGAGATTTGTCCTTCAGAAAAACCTGGAATTGAAAATTCACATATCAATGGAACCTTCAAATAAGTCACTTCAAGCGTAGCTCTTATTTGAAGGCATTCTTGTAGATGATTTATATTCATCTTCTCTTGGACTATATATGCGGATAGTTTGTAAGATGAGTCATTAAATCCTGAGCATACTGAAACGAGTTCAAAATAATTTTAAAAAGTGTGCTTTTGAGTTCATTTACACCTTTTCAGTTCTCTCACAGGTTTCATGTCAGGCACAAGTTACGATGGATACGCCAGGCCAGTTGAAACCTCTTTTCGTATCCCCTTGGTTAATTCAACTATTTCGCCCCAGAATAATAGACGGCCCACAATGCGAATTCAATCTAATTATGATTCCTTTGATTGTGAGCAAATTTAAATTGAATGCTTGGTCACAATTATTAAATATGTGTTCACTCTATTTCGTTTAAGGTGATGAAAGAATGGTAGTTGAATTTTCCCAGAATGATATGAGTAGACCCTAGCTTTCTATTAAATTTCATAGAGCCTTACTTCCCAAAAGGTATTCTCATCCAGGACAGACTGTAGTTTTGACCTTGTCTAGGTCTCATCAGCACCCCCATTGAGACTAGAGTTATAACAGTGCAGCACACAATCTAGACCTGTAAACCACTATTAACGAAATAGGATGAACACATTTCATATATGTAATTTATTCTCAGCCTAGAAGCACTAGTTAAAACTGATAATTATATTATTTCTATTCAAAAAATACCAATTTTCTTGTTTGTCTTGAGGAATATTTACGAAAAGTAATCGTATTTTGAAACCCCAAGTAATGGGGAGAAACAACTAAATTAAATGCTGCCTCGTATATTATAATACCTGAAAAAGTTTAGCACAACTCATAAAAAGATAAAGCAGCCATTTCTACTGATGCATAATGGATGCAAACAAAAAAATTGCGCATACTATGAGAGTGTACACTTGATGCCGACTACGATGCCGGCGAAACGTCTGAGAATGTATCAAGTCCACTGTCAGATGCTGGGAATCA